GTCTCCACGGGCATCGGAAATGAACTCAGAGAAACAAACTGAAAAGCTCAGAGAAGAGAAGGTAGAACTCCTAGCCGGAGCGGCATTTCATTTAGACTTAGAGAGCAGCAAACCAAAACAATCAAATTCACACGAGAGGTCTGATCCAGTGACCCAGTCTGATCAGACTGCATACGAGGTCCTCTCGAGTCCAGTCTGACCAGCTCCGTGACCGTACCGGAAACCAGACAACGAGCTAAATGCAACAATGGAGAATTGAGTGGTGTACAGGGTGCGAGTCAAGCCACGGACATTGTGCAACCAAAAGACATGTGAAACATCTCAGCCGAGATCCCGGTTGTGGGTGTCCTAACTAAGAAGAAAGAACTCCGTAATACAGTTAGAAGACAATGGGCTAATGCCTAACCGATTTGGGCCCAAAGGGCTCTTGTTTGGGCCCGGTCCCACTGGGTTCCAGAGGTCCCACACAGGTTGCGGCCAGGTCCCAACCAAGAGGAGTCCCTCGTGGACTTAGTTCAGTTTCTACTGTACTGAAAAACGAAATTTCAACTTCCGGCAGAACCTACAGACTACAACCGTTCAGAGATGAAAGACAAAGCACTGTAGAAAGACTCGGCATTTAGGTCAAGATACTTCATCTTCCATCCATCAGGTGAGTAGGTAGATCACATGCATTCAATCACACAATCAAGACCACACAGGAGTAGGAAAAGAAACCCAGAGTAACCCCAACAGGACAAACCATACCATGCACACAYACATGGGCATCCCGTAGGTGCACGGCACTTACCTGAGTGGCCTTGAACTTCGAGATGAATAGAACTCACTCCCCTCTCATGTGATCCTCCTGACCCCTCTAACGCTTCCCCTACACTAGTGTTCTATCTCCTAGGAGGGTCTGACTCCAACACCCAAGTGCAACGCCGGATCCCCCGTCGATGCTGAGAATCAGATTCCAGGTGTGAGTGCCTCTCATTGTCGCCTCTCTCAAATTGCCGCATGAAACTTCCTCGAAATGTCTCGCCACCCTAATCTCACTCTAAGGCAACCTGGTTAAGTTCAACGTCGACCCTCCGTGACCTAACCAGGTGGGGGCAGCTTCCCTCAGCCACGCTGCCCCTCTTCCCTTCACAAACCAACCCTAACCCTAAGTGGTGCCCTCAACCACTTAGGTTAGGGTTAGGGCAGCAAAGTCAACTCTCACCAGCAAGTAGAATCCGCTCCGATACCAATGTTATGATCCTGGCCAATTTCGAGATACACATCCATCAGATAGTACAATGCCGTCCAATTGCAGAAAGAAATGAATGAACTTGAGAGGAGAGACAGGATTAGAAAAAGAAGAAGTAAGAAAGAAGAAGAAGATGATGTACACCAGCACAGACAAATGACAAGGCTCTTCTTCTTCGTCCAACAATCTCCTCCTCCTTATCTCCCCCTTCTCTTATTCAGACAAGAAATAATAATACAATGTTGAATGGCTGATCCAGAATCAATGTCCGAGTTCCTCTTCTACTGCAGGTATCACTTGAGGTCCACCATAGCCATGGCCGCCTCTCCCACTCTTCACTCTCATAGGCCGAGGCTATGGCAGACTATGAGGCCTAGGCCAGATGCCCAAAGGACAACCCAAAGCAGCTATGGCTGCTCTAGCTCAGGCTGCCATGCCTGACCCTGCCTCGAAGCTTCCTGGTGTGGCTCTCCCCAGTTGGGGACTCCCTGCTGCAGCGCCCACCAAGGTGATGAAGATGGCTGCCACCATAGCCAGGTAAGTACCCCTGGCGCTCCTCTTCCTTCTTCCTCCCTCGTGTCCTTCTCCTTCCTCCCCAGCAGCGTTGCTCCAGCCGGCGCTCCAACCAGTGTGTCGCCAAACTTGCACACCGGAAAAGAGGCCGGGCTCTTCGCCCGGCTGGGAGATATAGCGGCCTGCTTGCCTCTTCGGGCAGTGACTTCCAGGCCGCTCGGCCTTCCAAGCAACCGGTACCTCCTCCCTTTCGGAGGGAAACATCATTGCAGACTCTGATATTGCCCGTACAAGCCCTAGACCCAGACTGGTTGGACTGATATCCACCTAGACCTAACCTACAACTACTGGGCCTCTAAAAATGCCACTTATGTTTTCTTCTGCTCACCCTCCAGTACCCGCACATCTACCCCTTCAGGGTGCGGTACCGGCCTACCCACTACTTGAGTGTTTTTCCTGCTGTAATCCCTCAATGTCACGGCCAAAGGTAAGTACCGACCCTGAGGGCCCAATGAACGAGCAAGTGCCCTTGCGGGCCACACACACACTCAGCACTCAGACAGGCACGGCCACGCACACATTCAAGCCAACCAGCACTCAGACAGGCACGGCCACACACACACACAAGCCAACCAGCACTCAGACATACATGCAGTCCGGCAAGTGTGCACACACAGACTTAGTAGCAAGCGGGAAACTCAGCAGGGCATTCAGTCTATGGGCAAAACTCAGAAATCAGCTGTGTGTTTCAGTCCATGTTTGGACGGGTCATCACATGACCAGGGAGGAAAAGGTCTCGGAATCAAAATGCAATGGAGTGGAGAGGAGGAGGCAGGGGAGTAAGGACGAGGGAAAAGGAAGATGGGTGTGGCAGTCATTGGGGATTTAAGATCGAGGCAACGCAGGACAAGTGCAGCCATTGCGGGGAGATGGGATCAGGTGAAAGGAGGACRGGTGCCACATTTGAGGGAAGGGAGTGGGTAAAGAGACACAAGCTGCGCCACGTGGGGAGGGTTAGGGGGACTTGGGGGGAGAGGGGTTAAACGGCACGATCGTCTTTTTCGTTGCCCTTTTTTCTTTTTCTTTTTTTGTGTGTGTGAGAGAGGGGGGCTGGGA